CAAGTGCAAATTGGCTGGGGTGTGAGTCAGCACCTTCAAGTCCAAGGCCATGGTTCTCTGGAAACTGGTGGACTGCTCCCTCTGGTTTGGGGTGGAGGTACTGCCCCAAGCAAAGGAGTTTAAGGATCTCAGAAACTTGTTCATGCGGGATGGGAAAATGGAGCATTAGATGGACAGGCGGCTCGGTTTAGCATCAGCAGTAATGTAGGCATTGTACTGGACTGTCGTGGCGAAGAGGATTTATCAGTCAGTCTACTTTCCAACTCTCATCTACGGTCATGAACTCTGGGTAATGCCAAAAATAACAAGATCGTGGTTACAAGCGGCCGAAATGAGTTTCCTCTGTAGAGTGACTGATCCCAGCCTTTGAGATAGGGTGAGGAGCTCAGACATCCCGGGGGAGGTCAGAGTAGAGCCGCTGCTCTTCCATGTTAAAAGGAGCCAGTTGAGGTGGTTCAGACATCTGATTCAGATGCCTCCCGGGAGACTTCCCTTGGAGGTTTTCCAAGCATGTCCACCTGTGAGGAGACCCTGGGGCTCAGAACTCGCTGTAGAGATTATATATTTCATCTGGCCTGGAAACACCTTGGGATCCCACAGGAAGAATTGGAAAGCATTGGAGAGGGACGTCTGGAATGATCCACTTCATCTGCTGCCTCTGCACCCTGACCCCAGATAAGCAAAAGAAAATAGATGGATGGATGGATGGATGGATGGATGGATGGATGATACAATTTCAGGTACTTTTAACTAGTAAATCGCAGCAAAACACAAGAACCATCCACTTTTAGATCCACATTAAAACACAAGGACCATCCACTTTTAGGTCCACAATCCTTCCGTCAAAAAGTCAACCATGTCCCAGTTGTATAGTGCACACTGCATTGTAGAATAAACATGGATTGTTAGTTTGATAAAATGAAGGTGTTTCGTTTGTGTGAGGACTGGGTGAAATGGCAGAGCAGCATCAGTGACAAACAGACACAGACTAATGAACACACACATCTAGAGACTAACAACTACTGAATATGAATTGAGATACACTACACATTACACAGCCACAGCTACCCAAAGCTAGTTAGTTACAAGTCATCTGTGAGCAATTTTGGCAGAGAAGCAAAAGCAAAACATTTGGTCCCACGATGTGACAGATGCCTTGAGAAGAAAATGTAATGGTGTGAAAATGGAAATGAGCCAGCAGACAATTAGGACTTGCAAGTTTCACAGGTGGTACACCATTGCACTACAAAAACAGCACACATTTAATCACATTTAGTTCTGTTTCATTTGAGGCTTTAGGGGGGACGACAAGACAAGACAGGAAATGTATTAAATGTAGACAGAAGAAAGTGATGGTTAGAGGATCAGGTAGATAAGCTCACTAACACACTGGTGACTCGCACCAACTGTTACACATACATGCCTAGGCCTGTGGTATGTCAGGAAACGTCAAATTTCCACATACACTTAGACTATAGATCACCTCAAGCATCTGCAATTCAGTCATCATCAATGTCATCACCATCACATCAGTGTATTCAAGAACATTTTACACGTAATCACAACTGCTATCCATTATCAGCACCTTTATCATGGTCATCACTGCTACCATCAATTTCATCGTTACCGCAGTCATTACCACTGTCAACAACAGAAATCACTGTAATTATGTTTGCATGCATCCTCATCACGATAATCATCATCATCATCATCACCAACACCACTATCATCATCACCACCACCGCCACGACCACCTTCATCAGTGTAATTGTTATCATCATCACCATCATCATCATCATCATCATCATCAATATTATCATCATTGTCATCGTCATCATCACCTTTATCTTCAGTGCCGATCATCAGAGTCATCATCATCACTGATTATATTCACTTGTTAATTTTATATTAAATCAATCATTAGTCATTATACTGTTACATATTATTCTTCTCATTCTAGTGTTGCTGTTTTAATCACCACCATCACCAGTGTCACTATAACCTTCATCATCGTCAATGCTGCTCTCAGTATATGTATGTTTCGGCACTGCTTCACTTTGTTTCGGCAGAGTTAATTGGCAGTTAAAATACAGCCTGGAGAAGGCCTGCTAATAATAAGCTCCAGCGCTTATGGTGTGTACTTTCTGGCCCAGGCACCCTGCTTATCATTTGAATAATTAATGAATATCAGGGGGAGGAAATCTACCTAATTATATCAGCAGAAAAATGATGACACCAAGTTATAAAACAATAATAGGCCGGTTTTCATTTCAGTGTCTTTGTCTAATAAGCCAGATCAATCAAATGAGGGAGCAATAGAAACAGGAGGTGGACAAAGGGGTAGAAAGACAAAAAGACAATGATGGAAATAAATTGTTCAAGAGGGAGATTAAATGCCAGTACTGACCAAAACCATCCAAAGTTGTTCCATCAGGAGATTATGCTAATTTGCACTGCTTAGCAATGTAGCCGAAAGACTCCATTTACCAGAAACCATTTGGCAGCTAGCAGCTGATGGGAAGATATCACACACATGGGTTATATAGACTAAAATATTTTTTTATTATTTATTTATTTTTTATTCTGTTTTTAATCAAATGCCTTCATGAAGGTATAACACCTAGTTTTAGGCCTGTTCTAAATGGGCTGTTTCACTCTAAAAACCAATGAGCTGTCCACATCCTCTCCAGGGAGAACACTGTCTTTGCATGTGTCATTCACAAAGCAAAGCAAACAGCTGACCCCACGCTGCGAGAAGACCAAAACTTTCTGTCTCTCCTGTAAATCTGAACAATCATGTCACAGTGAAATATCACCAAATTCACAGCACAACTGTTGTTTTAGCTCGTATATAATTAGCTTGTCAGACAGTGTTGCAGTTATAAAATCAGTGTTTCAGTGGTGCAGAGCAGCAGCTTAAAATGGCTTTGAAGTGATTGCTGGTTAACATGTCATTTCAATGGGCTGCGCTTTACTCACTGTTTCATCCACATAGAGAATTTTCGGACTTTCTTCAAAGTCAGAAGTTTACATACATTTCTTAGTATTTGGTAGCTTTGCCTTTAAACTGTATGACTGAGGTCAAATGTTTTGGGTTTCCTTCCACAAACTTCTCACAATAGTTTGATGAATTCTGGACCATTCCTCCTGACAGAACTGGTGGAACTGAGTCAGGTTTGTTGGCTGCCTGACTCCACACACCTGTTCAGCTCTACCCACAGATTTTCTCCAGGACTGAGATCAGGGCTTTGTGATGGCCACTCCAAAACATTGACTTTGTTGTCCTGAAGCCTCTTTGTAAGTAATCTAGCGGTATGCTTAAGGTCATTGTCCATTGGAAGACCCATTTGTGCCCAAGCTATACCTTCATGGCTGATGTCTTAAGATGTTGCTTCAGTATTTCCACTTAATCTTCTTTCCTCATAATGCCATCTATTTAGTGAAGTGCACCAGTCCCTCCTGCAGCCAAACACCTCCACAACAGACTTGTGGAGGTCCACAATTCTCTTCCTGATATCTTGGCTGATTTCTTTAGATTTCCCATGTTGTCACAAAAGGAAGCAGTGTTTTTGAGGTGTGCCTTAAGACACATCCACAGGTGTGCCTCTAATTAACTCAAATGTTGTCAATTAACCTATCAAAGGCTTCCAAAGCCATGATATCATCATCTGAGCTTCTCCAAATACACACGTGGACAAAATTGTTGGTACCCCTCTGTTAATGGAAGAAAAACCCACAATGGTCACAGAAATAACTTGAATCTGACAAAAGTAATAATAAATGAAAATTCTATGAATATTAACCAATGAAAATCAGACATTGCTTTTGAACAGTGATTCAACAGAATTATTTTTTTAAAAATAAACTCATGAAACAGGTCTGGACAAAAATGATGGTACCCCTAGAAAAGACTGAAAATAATGGGACCATAGGGACATGTTCAATCAAGGTGTGTCCTCTAATTAGCACCACAGGTGTCTACAAACTTGTAATCAGTCAGTCGGCCTATTTATAGGGTTACAAGTAGTCACTGTGCTGTTTGGTGACATGGTGTGTACCACACTAAACATGGACCAGAGGAAGCCATGGAGAGAGTTGTCTCAGGAGATTAGAAAGAATATTATAGACAAGCATGTTAAAGGTAAAGGCTCTAAGACCATCTCCAAGCAGCTGGATGTTCCTGTGACTACAGTCGCACACATTATTCACAAATTTAAGATCCATGGGACTGTAGCCAACCTCCCTGGACGTGGCCGCAGGAGGAAAATTGATGACAAATGGAAGAGATGGATAATACGAATGGTAACAAAAGAGCCCAGAACAACCTCTAAAGACATTAAAGGTGAACTCCAAGGTCAAGGTACGTCAGTGTCAGATCGCACCATCTGTCGTTGTTTGAGCCAAAGTGGACTTCATGGGAGATGACCAAGGAGGACAGACTGGAATTTGCCAAACTGCATGTTGACAAGCCACAAAGCTTCTGAGAGAACGTCCTACGGACAGACGAGACAAAACTGGAACTTTTTGGAAAGGCACATCAGCTCTATGTTCACAGACGCAAAAATGAAGCATATCAAGAAAAGAACACTGTCCCTACTGTGAAACATGGAGGAGGCTCTGTTGTGTTCTGGGGCTGCTTTGCTGCATCTGGCACAGGGTGTCTTGAATCTGTGCAAGGTACAATGAAATTTCAAGACTATCAAGGTATTCTGGAGAGAAATGTGCTGCCCAGTGTCAGAAAGCTTGGTCTGAGTCGCAGGTTTTGGGTCTTGTCATTGTTCACACGTTAGATTTAAATTTTTCAACTAAACTAACTGTGAAGCAACACGACAAATGTGAACAATTGAAAATTAAATGTTGATAATTACCCATTTGTAAGGTATTCAAAAAACTATATCTAAAAGTTTTAAACACATTTTTTATTTGATTGACTTTGAAACCTCTAAAGCCTTGCACAGACTTTTTAAGCATACATTACTCTGTTTTCAAGGCAGCCTTACAGCATCGATGCCGGACAGTTGCATGCCGATGTTGATGACCACCACACTCAGCACTTGCCAGCGCACTGTGTCATCCAGTAACAGTTTCCATACTGACAGCGTTTCCACTGACGACAAGGAGCGCTGCTCCTCCTGCATCTCCTCAATCTCAGCCTGGATGTTACACTTGGCTCTGTACCACTTTAGAGCTGAGAGACAGATAAACAAATAGCATTGTGGTTACAGCACAACATGGAAAGATAACATCTGAAGCACTGGCCATTACAGCTACACAAGTTATGATATTTTGGTAACTTACCAAATAGAAATTCAGATGAGTTAACTAACCAAGATCACCGTAGGATTGGAAGATGTTTTTCTCTGCTGGTGGTCAGACAGTGTGTCCACCAGTCATCAGCATATTTAACATGCGGTTTGCAACAAGGATTTATTCTTGTTCTTTGTGTAAATGCTGCTCCTTTGTTACATGGTTTGCTCCTTGGCTAATAGTCTTAAATATCTAGTGTGCCTTAAGAGCAGAAATGACCTCCTAGCTTTTCCTTTTCCACCTCCAAATATTCTTTTTGTTCGCTAACTTCCCTGTTGGGATATATTGATTCAATACGTTTCACTTTATGTTTTTTTCCATCCATAAAAATCAGTTGCAACATCTATGTTTTAGATAACTTTATTCACAAATGTTCTCAGTGGAGAATGAAAATAAACTACTTGAATGGTCATCTTCATTTTTCTATGAAAAAATAACATTTTCTACAAATACAATTAATCACCTGTCCACAGCATTCCTGTATTGGTTTAATAGAAAGAGGAGTGTCTGCAATTCTGTTGAAAATTCTACCTATAATTTTTTTTTGATACCCTGGTATACCTTGATACTTGTCAAACCCTTTGGACAGGGCTGGTCATTGCTATATTAATGACGTACTGCATCAACTGTGGCGCTCTTTTAAAAAATAACTCTTCAGTGAGGCCACACATAATTAAAATCTGCTATAGTCCAATAAAAGAATGCAGTCTCACAGTGTGCTGTAGCTAAACTGTGACAAACTTGAAACTGTTGTTATTGGGCCAGTTATTCCTTTAATTTAATTTGCTTTTTTTTGGCCAAAATGTAAACGCTAGTGTTCATCCTGTTGTGCCTCCTATTGTTGATGAGCAGCAGTGCCACAACACTCACCTGTGATGGTGGCGTGGACGTTGTGCTTCTCAATCAGCAGGTACCTAGGACTCTCTGGGAACCATGGCAACAGCATCAACTGGATGAAAGTGGGTACCACCACCACTGAGAGGAAGAGGGGCCAGTGCTCCTCCTGTAACGGTTACAGCATGGTTACAGACATACTAAGACTGTCAATGTAGCGGGCAGCAATAAAGATGTGATCACAACAGAGCCATGTGGAAACATTAGAAATGTTATTGTTATTGACACTTTAAATTTCTGGTGGAAAACCTGAATTTTGGGTTTATTTAGAATAAATTGCCACAGTTGCAACACAGCTATAAACTACTGTCTACTGCAATAGCAGATAATAGCATATAGTAATAAACAGGCTTTACAAATGCATATTTAGATTTTGGGGTTTATTCATGTGGTTTTGCTACAATACCCTCGACATTTTGATTGTTGTTGAGTAGTGTTCCAATACCTTTCCTAGGAGCTCGTGCAGGCCAAGGATTTGGGCAGCAAAGACCCCAGTGCCAATAAAGATACTGGGCACAAGACCGAGGAAGCCCCTCAGGTTCTTAGGTGCTATCTCACCTAAGTACATTGGTACGACACTCAAAGAGATGCCTGCAGGAACAAAAGCAAACAGAATCTTTGTAGCCATGCTCTGTTTATTAAAAAGCTTTAGAAAGTTATGAATGCATAATTTAACAAGAGTGTAAAATATAAAGAGTATCTCTCTCTCTCCTTCCCTCTCTCCCTCTCTCTCTCTCTCTCTCTCACTCGGTTTTACTCACCCTCACTCTCTTTGGTTTGGTTTGCTCCTGTTTTGTTTTCTCAATCATTTAGCTTTTCCTTCCTGAATTGGTTTGTGTTAACTTTCTTTCTTAAATAAAGCCTTTACAATCTTCACCTGTCTCTGCCTGATCTTCTGTGTCTGCACCTGGGTTCTCTGACCTGCCCTAACATAGTTTACAAACTGAATCTGTGAAGAGGGGTCTTGGGAGCATTTTTTAAAATCATTTCAGCTTGTGCCTTCTCGTGCACTGTGATATGAAAGTGTGAAGAGTGAATATGTATGCTTTTTGTTGTTGTGGTAGTGGTTATCTTTAGGTTAAAACACTTACAGGTATCTTGTACAAAGATCATCACATAACAGTGTTGCAATCTCTGAAAATCCATGTAACTTAGACTGATTCAATCAGTCATCTTTAGTTGCCAGTCATTTGATAATAATATAACTGTTCCAGTCATCTGTTCTGCAGAAATGCCAACATTTACTGGTTTCATCTGCTGTTAGGATTGTAACTTGTTCACAGAATCTCTTTGGGCTTTGGGTATAAAAAAATATTTAAAGGTAAGTTAGTTCTGGAAAATTGTTCACTATCATATGACAGGTTTACAGTGACTGATTAACCCACAAAATGTAAAGATTCATAAGCTCATCATTTCCATCATAACTCCTTGTTGTCTGTTTAGGCAGAAGCTAAGTGTGCAGCAGCCAGAGTGTGCTGAACCACTGAGAGACTATGATGAAAAACACACCATTTCTTTATCGTCTCTTCGGATCAAACCCGATCTGATGTTTGCGACTATTGAAGTTTTTCATGTTGATGAATGTGAAGCATCCCTTCTTTTGGTTTTAGTCTCCCCAGCAGATGTAGAACCAGTTGCATTTGGTCCCATTTAGACACCAGAGCATTGGTGTGGTTGATGTTGGGCGATAAGGTCTGATTTATTTATGGAGCCAACTTTGTGCACAACAGCAACATTATGTTAAAACAGAAAAACCTTTCTCAAACTAGAACAGTGGACTCTTCATACAGTTTGACATGTTGTGCACATGCCCAGTAAATGCAAAAGTGTGTGTGTGCACCTGAGTGAATGCCCGTGATGAAGCGGCCAAAGATGACCATCTCAGGTGAACCACATATCCTGCTGAAGCCCATGAATGAGCCAGCAATAAACACCAGCACAGTCGTGTTTATCACTGTGCCTTTCCTGAAAATGCACCGAGAGACACACACACACACACACACACACATAAGCAGCAGATAAACATTCCCAATACACAAAAGCATGTGACTTACAGTTTTATTGAATGGTAAGGACAGTGGTAGTATATTGGTTGACAGCAGTAGCCCCATCCCATAATATACTCACAATCATTGACATGTACAACAGTGGTCATACACTGTGACTATATGATTAGCCATAAAACATGACTGAAAAAAAATAATGAACCTGCAAATAGGATTATCAATTGTCTGTTTTTTAATTGCATTTAAATGTCCACTGACGTTCTGTGACACTGAAGATGAATGAAGCTTTCATTTGCCTTCTGTGCCTGCATACGTTCTGTCTCTAAGTGCCTCATTTCCAAATAATTTCCTAATCTTGTGTTACCATTTATTTTCCTGTTTGGACATGAAACTCTACCGTGCCATGGTTATCAGTGTGATTTTCAGAATGTGAGTATTGTATGTTCCTTGGTGTGACTGTATGCAAGTGTTTTGAGTTAAGTTGTTCATGTTTGTGGTAGCACCAGATGCTGCTGACTGTCGCTCGGGATGCCGTTGCCAAATGGCCACTATTCATCCTCGTAGTTGGACAGTCAAGTTGGTTATTGGTATCAGGACAGAGCAGAGCCAGCATCTGAATACGCCGTTGACAGTAGTTAGGAAAAAATATTCCCTGTATGATGTCAAACTATTTTTTCCACAAGAGCAGTGATGGCAAAATGTCTTGACTGAAACAAAATGCAATAAGTAAGAAAAAGACCCTATACTTTAAAACAGGCAGATTGTTCCATGCCTCTTGAAGAACTTGGAGAAATTTAGGTTGTCTCTGTCTCGTCATTTAATCCCAACCTGAATCCTGTGGGGGCTAGACTATCTGTGAAATGAATCGAACATTCATTCATTCTGTATGAATGGGCTAGCAGGTATTACTGAATCTGAGAAACTGATATATAGCCAACAGATAATTTAACTTGTTAAAAAGTTTTTTATTCAAATTTGTGTTTGTACCAGCATTTCAGCCTGTCAAGTACAGGCTTTCATTTTTATATTGCTTTTTTTAAAAAAAAAACAAAAACAAAAACAAAACAAAAAACAATATCTCTATTGAACTTTATATTACAAAATAATTAACAACATTCTCAACTTGGTGCAAACAAATAATGAGCAACAAAGTCTCCCATCAAACTAGATAACTTAATCAATTAAAGCAAAAGTTAAAAATACAAATAAATAAATAAATAAATACGCAGCTTACAGTTCAAGAAATCTGCACCATTTTCAAAATTACTTGGCCTTGTAACATCTGAGAAGCTCAGTTAAAGGTGACCATATTTTCCCAAAATCCTTTCCCCTTCCTCTGACAATACAAGTCAGTCATTCCACTATGAGATGACTTGTTGTTGTAAATATGCGCTATACAAATAAAATTGAATTGAATTGAATTCCAATACAACACAAGATGCCATCTCCTTCATCCACATATGTATTGAGGGTACGAACATTTTCTTCCAGTATAAAGACATCAACCTCCTGGCCTGCAGCAATCCAGAGTCGATGACTGTTAACTGACTTGAAGTAAAAAAAAAAAAAAAAAACAGCTGTCTGGAAATATACCCAATACACAAATCTTTGCTTGAAAAGGAACCCCATATAGGGGGAAGACGTGAGACAGGAGGAACATCTCCAACATGTCGATGTGCCCTATACCAAGTGTCTATGGTGTTTTTGAGAAAAGGGTTGTCATTTTTTTCAGGCTTTTGGGATTTGCAGAGTACAAATACAGTTTTAGTGCAAGGTTTGATACTGATGTTTGTTTAATATTTACCCAGGCTGAGAGTGTCTCAGGTGAAAAGTAGAACATGGCTGAGCGTAACTGCACAGACCAGTTACAGCATTTCAGGTTTGGAAGTTTTAGCCCCCCTCTTTCATATGGCAGGTATAGCAAGCACAGCCTGGACTTTTTGTTGTTCCAAATGAACACATTAAAGATTTTGGTGGTGGTGCAGGGAGTGACTGAAAGAGGTATAAGAACCTTGGCAACACGCTCATCTTAATCATGTTTATTCGGCCAATCGTTGATATGGGCATTGTCATCCATCTATCCAAAGTCTCCTTCACTTCGCTGACCAATGGGTTGTAGTTTCTTGCAACGGTGGTTTTAATGTCAGGGGTAATTTTAATTCCAAGATACATAAATCCTTCGTATGCATTAATAAACGGGGTTTGTATGACTGGTTTTCGCCTTTCATCCTGATCTAAAAATAGTTGTTTATAGCATATCCAGAGAATCGTCCAAGTAGTTCAGTTTGTTGCATTAGACTTGGTATGCTGGTAGACAGCTTTGTTAAGAAAACTCTCAAATCGTCAGCATACAGAGCCAATCTGTGTTCTTGTTCTCCTAAACAGATACCGGACAAGTCTGTTTGTGTTCTTATTGCCACAGCCAAGGGTTCTATAGCTAGTATGAATAGCACTAGCGATAATGGACATCCCTCACGTGTGGAGCGTTCCAATGCGATTGGCTGTGAAACTATACTGTTTGTTATAACACTGGGTTCTGTATACAAAATCTGAATTAATTTAAGAAAGTTGCCTCCAAGTCCAAATCTTGGCAGAACATGAAATAAATATGGCCATTCTATCCTGTCGAAGGCCTGACAGGCATCCAACAATAACAAAGCTGTATCCTTAGCATCAAATTTCTTGTAAATTATATTAAAAACTCTTCTAATATTGTGGAATCCTTGGCATTTTGGTACAAAGACATTTTGATCATTATGAACCAATTGTGAAATGTAGGGGTCTAATCTTTTTGTCAAGACTTTACAAAGTATTTTAGTATCAACCCCCATCAGACTTATTGGTCTATATGAAGAGCAAAGTGTGGGCAGCTTACCAGATTTTAAAATCTGTGTGATCATTGCCAGTCTCAGAGTGGGTTGGAGACTTCCATTTTGATAAGCTTCTTCATACATTTAAAGGAGTGGGGTTATTAATTTTTCTTGAAAGATTTTATAGAATTCAATCGTAAATCCATCTGGCCCAGGGGCCTTACCACTGTTAAAATTTTTGATGGCCTGTGATATTTCTTCAACAGTTAAATCTCTGTCTAATTCCTTTTTTGGATCTTCTGCTAGGATTGGGAGTTGGTTTAAGAATATTTCCCGTTCCTCCGAAACTTGAGGGCATTCTGACTTATATAGATTTTGATAAAACTGTCTAAAACTATCGTTGATTTCAAATGGGTCTCCTGTTATGTTCCCTGACGAGGTAATTATACTGTTAATCGCTCTATCACTCTGCATTTTCCTAATTCTCCACGCCAAGAGTTTACCAGCTTTTTTCTCCCTGAGCATAATAAGATTGCTTTAGCCACTGTATATTTCTTGCAGCTGCATCGGAGGATAATTTGTTATTTTCAGTTCTCAAATGCAACAGTTCCCTCTGTTTTAATTGGTCATTGCCAGTGGTTAGGTCTAGCTGCAAAAGTTGAATCTGTTTGTCCACAGTGTCCATCTGCTTCTTTTGTTATTTGATCTTGGTACTCGAGAAACTGAGAATTTCACCTCTGATATATGTTTTAAATCCTTCCAATCTCACCAAGGCACTAGTCTGATCTGTATTTAACTCAAAGTAGTTATCTATTTTCTCTCCCACAAATTTAACAAAGTCAGGGATCTGTAAGCATCTTGCTTGAAATCGCCGGTTACAGGGATTATGGGTAAATTTCTCTATGTGGCTATTCAAGGAGATCGCTGCATCGTCGCTGTTCACAATGCTGTCATACTGGTATCTTTTGATCCTTGATAAGAGTTCTCTTGAGACCAAAAAGTAATCTATACGAGATCATGATTTATGTATACTGGTTTGACAGGAAAATTCTATTTTTTCTGGATTCTGCTCCCTCCACACTTCCACCAGGTTAATATCTGATATATATTAATTTATTACTTGTCTAGTTTGTGCTTTAGAGATGTCTGAGCCTATTGAACGATCTATAGTTGGATTAAGAGGGCAATTAAAGTCTCCTCCAATTATATAAGATCCTTGTAAGGTAGATATTGTAAGAAAGAGGTCTTCAAAAAATGTAGGATTATTTTGGTTTGGCCCATATGCTCACTAGATTTAATGTAAATGAGAGATTGTTTCCCTGAGCGATTACATATCTACCAGCAGGATCTTGGATTGTTTTAGTGAGTTGAAAGGGTTTGGTTCTGAGGATCAGAATAAGCACCCCTCTGACATAGTTATTATATGATGCATGTATCACTTGACCATCTGTTTTTTACAGGTTTTACATCAGACATTGTCAAATGTGTTTTCTGAAGAAGAATTATTTTATATTTAAGCTGCTTGATTCTGTTTATAACCTGCTTTAATATGATCAATTTCCTGAGTCCCCTGACGTTCCAACTTGTGATTTTTATATCAAAGATGTTCTGGATATTTACTTGTGTGAATGTG